AAATGGCTTATAGACTATAAGAAACATCATATTGGCATTAGGCAAAAAAAAAATAAAAAATAAAATATATGTTTAACATTCCACTCACCTTTAAACATTGGTTGGATAATATATATCATTTTTTTTATAAACAAGGAAACACTTGCCAATTTTGCAAGAGGCAACTTCCATTGTTCAGATTCAAAATAAGCTGCACTTATATTTGGGGAAACATATTTGGGGAAATATCTCTCTTCCTGCCAGAAGTGCTCCATACAAGTGGCAAAAATATTATTCACTAAAAATGTTTCACTCCTAGACAGTAACATTAGATTTGCCTACAAATTATTCTATTCTCAAAAAAATAATAAGAATAAGTTGGGGATAAAAAATGGGTTTGGTAAAAAAAGAAGCATATCTTCTGGAGCCTTATTTATCCTATCTACTCATTCCTTCGGTTTCCTGGGATGTACTATCCAAAACTAACACAGACACTATTTTCCAAGAAAAGGTATTCATCATTCCATGCATTCAAAAAATCTCTTACTATTGTACTTATTTGCTGGTGAAACTATGGAATCCAATGATCCAATTCATGACAAACAGAGAACCAGAAAACTGACAAATCTGTCACTGAAATGTTCATCCAAGAAGGCTAGCAGTTTACATAAAACCATTATACCATCACTAAACAAAGAACATGCAAGAAGGCCAGGCAAAAAATGGTCAGTTGCTATAATAACTTGTACAAATATCTTTGGCATTCCTCAAAAGATTAGTGGCATGATTGAAGTGGTCGTATAAACTTGAAAATGAAATTGTATTTGTCAAAAATACACATTCTTTAGCTTGAATATTCATCAAAGCTTCAAGAATTTACTTGGGTGGGGTAGTGATCAGTTTCAGACAATCTAAATTCCTGTCTTTGCGTTCCATTTTCATTAAGATTAATTACAATATGGGTAATATTCTGCCTCATTCATAATGATATTGCCATATATGCAAACAATATTGCTCTCAAAATTCAGATCCAACAATAAGAATGAGAATTTTGCTGTCAAATCAGTCAATAGTATCATTAGCCTCCTTGGATGAATCTATACTTGTGTTTGCATATATGTTTATGTTTCTATGAGAGTGAACAGATCAGTGAGTGTGTGTGTGTGTGTGTGTGTGTGTGTGTGTGTGTGTGTGTGTGTGTGTGTGTGTGTGTGTGTGTGTGTGTGTGTGTGTGTGTGTGTGTGTGAGTGAGTGAGTGAGTGAGTGAGTGAGTGAGTGAGTGAGTGAGTGAGTGAGTGAGTGAGTGAGTGAGTGAGTGAGTGGGTGGGTGGGTGGATGGGTGAGTGTTTGAGTGAGTGAGTGAGTGAGTGAGTGAGTGAGTGAGTGAGTGAGTGAGTGAGTGAGTGAGTGAGTGAGTGAGTGAGTGAGTGAGTGAGTGAGTGAGTGAGTGAAGAGTGAGAGTGACAGTGTGAGTGCAAATATGGGTGTGAATATGAGTGTGAATGTACAAATGAGTATGAGTGTGTAAGAATGAGCTTGTGCTTGGGTGTTCATGTCTGTGTTTGTGTATGTGCGTTCATGTCTGTGCATGTGCAAGTGTGTGTACATGCACATGTGCAATGATCTTATAGTAAATATACCACTTGATTTCTAAATAGATCTCAGAGTTGACACACACACAAATGCAAGCACACAAGTATCCCCCTTTTCCTCTTCTGTTGCATAATATTGCACAACATAATCAAAATAACTAGGAACAACATTGTCATGGATTTGGACTAAAATAGTTTACTGATACGGCAACCATTTTACCTTACCTTTTTTCACATTCATTTGTTGATTTAAATATTTTAAAGTCTATGAAAAGAATCAACTTATATACAGCTATAATATGAATGTTGCATTTTTTTCCTTCTTCTATTTTAACCCTTTCCCGACGGGGAAAATTAATAAAAAATGGGGGAAATTCTGTGCTCATTTTTTATATTTTTGTGAAATGTCCCTGTTACTAGATGGTTCTGCTAGTGCTTAGCCATAAAGCATCAATCCATCAAAAATGTCGGGTGTGAAGAGAAAGATAAACGGTGAAGCTAGTGGAAGTGCAAGAAATGTCAGGCTATAACTTTATCAATCTTATCGATCGGTTTGCCAAACAGTCACCACTACAATATATTTTCTTTTTGAATAAATTATGTTTCTACATTGAAGTTGTACGAATCACCATCAAATAATATTAAAAGCATTACAAATTGCAGGTACTGTATAAGGTATGTCATACTTATTGGGATTTATGTACAGGTATTCTTAATGTAAACGAAACTTTAAAACAATGGGAAAAAAGGCAATGGAGACCCGACTTTTGATATACGAACAAATGGAGTTACAAACAGCCTCTCTGTCCCCATTATGTTCGTAAGATGGGGACTTCCTGTACTATAATGTTATAAACATTTGTAACTGCAAAATAAGGTAAAGTTAAATATTTTTCTAAATCGATGAAAAGGGTGAACGGGCGAGACAGGCAGTACTCGTAACTGGCTCTTTGGTGATTTATTACAAGTGTAGCCATCTATGTGTAAAAACAATTAAATAAATAAACTCACAATGGGCATGGCATGTACGTACATGCCATGCCCGTCGGCAAAGGGTTAACAACTCTTGAAACATGTAAACAAAATTACAAATGAAGAGAAAGTGAGGTAGGTTCAACTTGATGAATGGTGTGGAAAGTGATGCTACCTGATGTCATTTGTTCCATTTGACAAAAAGTGTATTTTTTTCTCTCAGTTCAATGAACCTAAGGTCATGACATTGATATAAATTTCAGTCAGTCAGAAGATATTTCATGTGTGAGCCATATACAATAAAATAGTAACAGAAGACAAGGGAAACAACAAAGAACTTTCTTCCCAGTCAAAACTAAAATGCATCTCACAAGATGTAGGAAAGCTATACATTCTTTTGATTTAAAAGAACAAAAACTTTTTTGTCACATTTGCCATTCAATAAAGTAGAGAATCCTGGCTCTTTGCATCTGAATTTCTCAACTGTAGCAATATTTACGACTGATTTCGTGAAAACGCAAATAATAGCTGTTATTTCAAACTGTCCTTTTAGGCTTACAATAGATATTAACATAAAGTTAATAAAAAGAATTGATTTTTTAATGGTTATAGGATAGTAACTAGAATATCCATCCCCAAACTATCCAGCAACATCAAGTATCAAATCATAAAAATTTTACCAATGAACTTTGTAATTTGAACACAAGAAATTAAAACTTTGCTCGTCTTAGTAAAATGGTGTGTTCGTGCCATATTAAGGGGAAAAAATATATATACAAAAAAAGGAATAAGACTCTATATATCAGATGTTATCTATATTAATTGCACAAGGAATATTTTGTGAATTCTGGTCTCTGGTAATGAGTGGCCTTTCTTATTAAGAGAGAGATATTAATGTAAATAAATCAATGTGCACAAAAACTTTCCAAGTTGCAACTACATTAGTCATTCTTCCCTGCAAGTAAACTATAACATTTTTCTCTGATATGAATGTGGGGAGAGTGAGTTGCCAACATTATTTACCTGGTTTCTACTGGTCCCAATCCTCTGCACAATCCTATGTGAGCTCGGATATTGGACCATGAGTTTTCTTTCAAGCTTACTGAATTAATTCACGTATGTGATTGCATCCAAATAGTATTTAAATGATTATTCATTTTTTTCTGACTTTTGGGGGAAAAGAACTAATATCACTTCCATTTTCTTAAGCATTAAAACAGCTTATCTACCTTACATCATCTCATCTTATCCATTAAGTAAAAAGTAGAGCTGTATGTGAAGTGAGCTATTTATACAAGCTGCATCTTCATGCCTTTGTGCAAATAAAGCTCAGAAACAATCCTGAAATCACTTACTTTGCAAACTCCATATGATCAGCCAATTACTTTAGTTGTCCTCTAATACCATCACAAAAGGTAAGTAATTACTTTCACTACTTTTTGAATACTTAAATTAAGTGAAAGCATTCAAATTGTATTATATCTTAATCACTGATCTGTAATTAAACACATCATATGATGGAAGTACAACTGATAATCATTCTGATAACTACTACAACATGGTTCACTTGTCAAAAATTATGACATTTTTCATAAATGACATTCTAAGATCTCCAATATGAATGAAGATATAAGTAAATTTCAGGTAAGGTTTTACATTTATATTCTAGGCCTAAGTGCAACTTACCTACCAATCGCATTGGAAAATAATATATCAACACTGCGGTAATCTTTCCCTCTTATGTCCCTGTAACTGTAAATATTCTTGTTTTACAATTTAAAAGCATATATGAAAGAACATGAAAAAAACATTTACCATACCTTGTGGTATATAAGAGACACTGAAACAAGACCAGGGATGAGAATGGACATTATTAAATAAGTGTGAAAATATACCATATTTAACCCTTTCACGATGGGTGACACTGCTTGGTGTGAAAACAAACCGCTCGAAAAATGGTGTGCGGCTGAGCCAGTGATTCGGCCTGATGTACCGAACTCACAAAGTCGGCGCGCTGCCATGGTTCGCCAGAGCGTTTTTTTTTGTTTTTTTTTCTTCATCCGTCACCATTGGGTTAAAATACTGGAAACTTATTTACTTCATTGATAACACAAGTGGAAATAGATAACATAAAAACAGATACCTATATAGCTGAATTCAATTGCATGACTGAAAAACTTGGAAATCCTTATATATGTGGAAAATTCTATCCCTGCAACAAATCTAACATGAAATATAATAAAATAAACTTGCAGATTTTCTGTCAAGTTATTTGTTCAGTGCAGATCACTTCAATGAACTGAGCACTAACCTGAAATGGACAGATAGTTTTAGCTTCAGCCAGGGATAGGCTACCTTACGAAAACAAGCACACTGTCACCATAAGACATCACTGTCAAATAAAAGGGGGTAGCTGCCAGGTAAATACAGTAAGGAGACAAGTGTTTCACTGTCTGCTGTGAAGTAAATGGCTGCTGGTAATTTAAGGAATTTCCATTGATATTTACTATTTTAAGATTTACATATTTTGGTAAAATTCAAATTACTGTCACATAAAAAACACCTATTCAAAAATTATCTGGATAATTAACAAGTGCACATCTTATTTACCACAACATATAGTATTATAAAATCTTGTCTTTTGAACTCAGGTAATTATTTCACCTATTCTGAGGGCAAAATACTTGCTTTCTGTAAGTGAGTTTCAGTGTGTGTCTGAATGCAAGAGAATGTGAGTGTGAATAAAAGCAATTGTGAGCATGCATGTTAGTGTAAGTGCAAGTTTTTTTTTTTTTTTTTTTTTTTTTTTTTTTGATAAGTTTATTGAGCTAAACACTCACATATCAAAAGGATGAAGTCACTCAAGTGAGTGCGTGTGAATGTAAGTGTGAGTGTGAATGTATGAGTGTGAGGGTATGAATGTGTAAGAGTGTGAGCGTGAGTGTGAGTGAGTGTGAGAGGAAATGCGAGTGTGAGTGTGAGTGTGAGTGTGAGTGTGAGTGTGAGTGTAAGTGTAAGTGTAAATGTAAGTGTAAGTGTAAGTGTAAGTATAAGTGTAAGTGTAAGTGTAAGTGTAAGTGTAAGTGAGAATGTGAAAGTGATTGTACGAGTATGTGTTCATGATATGTAAGATAGCAAAATCATATATTCCATCTCACTTAAACAATCAAAGCTGATAATTAGGAACATCTAAAAAAATCAGCAATTTTCTGCTAACTTCTCTCAAAATTTCACTTTGTCTCATCCTCGTATCTCCTTACCAGACATCCAAATTTCCAACCTCAACACGTCTCACATTTCTGTTATTACAACCTCTCACTTTCCATCCAGAATTACCACAATCATATTAGGAACTTCTTTCCTACCAAAGCAATTTTTTTCTCTTCTTTTTCTTTTTATCTTCCCCTTCTCCCTCCTCTTTCCATCAACAGCTATGAAAGCAGTCAAAGTAAAGAAAGATCATCTTATACTACCAGAGATCGAAATGGTATTCCCTTAAGTAAAAAACTTGTACCTTATATTCTGTAAATGTAAGCATTACCATTCCCATTTCAACAAAGTGCAAGAAAAATCATAAAAGACTGTGTTCCAGTTCTCTCTTGAGGGAGAGAAGAAAAGAAATGAATTCTTACAGATCATTGGTTCTTTGATCCATAGTATTATATAATGTTGTTAATCATTGTTGGCATAGAGTTGGAAGCCGAGGCGCTGTCACTGATAACGATGGCACTGTTGATACCTGTGGTGTCCACTTCTTCCTCATCCTCCTCTTCTGCTTCATCCACACCAGTTTCATTCACTATCAAGCTTTCTCTTTCCAAACCTTCTGTGTCCACCAAACTGAAAAGGAGAAAAAACATGAACAGAGCACTGTACAGCATATCAGGTCCTATGACATAAAAGAGAATGTTGGTATGATCTGGCATCAAAATTCTCTTTCTTGGAATACTTTTATTACAAAAAATTAGAATAACTGCAGAATACTCGGACAAACATACCTATACATATGGTTATTTCTAGAACATCTTCTGTTTATTTTTGTTATGCAATCCATGAGTGGATCCCAGTTTTCATAGTGTGTAAGCAGTGTGACTATGATGAATGACAACATCATGGGGATTGCGCCAATGTAAAAGATGAGTGAATACTCAACATCTTTTACAAAGATGTCAACGACCATGGTGAGAGGAATAGTGAGACTCAGCGACAGTGTGGCCATCAGAGAAGAGGTAAGGAAACATCCCCTGTAATATAAAATATCATCAGGAAACATGCAAAGCAAAATCACACTTCCATGTTGTTATGATCATAGAAAAGCCAACAATGAATGAAACAGCTTTACTTTCTGCTGCAAAGTGTCACCTAATCTTTCAAACAAATCTATTTTGCTAATGGTGTTTTTTTCTGTCATTTGAAACATTTACATATATCTTCTAATTTTCATACTTGATCATCCTTTCCATAGCCACAAATCTGTGAGAACAAACATAGACTGATTCGATCTGTAATTATAGCATTCACCTTATTCACTCTAACCTTTAAAAGTAAAATCTTCATTATTACTGCCACAGTAATTTCGAGAGAACACACATTCACCTATACAGTTTGGAATTACCTCATTTACATCTTCAATCTGATCACCCAAGAGTGAAGACCCACTTACCACAGCCACAAGAGTTCTGAGAGCACAGTCCCAATTAATCCATTAACAGACATGTAGAGAAGCTGCTCCTTGTTTGGTAACTGGAATGTTTCCCATCCTAAGACATCTAACAGAGGAAATCCCGGCCACAGAATTATGGTATTGAACAAGCCGACAAATCCTGAAATATGATTATTTAGAATCAACTGACTGGTAAGATCATAAAATACAGGAAATTTATAATTTTTTCTCTGCATTTATTATCTATGGTCACTGGTAAAAAACATGCACGGCTGACAGCTTTGTTCAACAATTTATCTAGCATAAACATTAAGTACTGAAAGTAAGTTTTCCTTAAATTGATGATGTTTCACTTGGAAAAAGATAAACACATCACATAAGAAAAGAATAAAACAATAACAAAATAACTAAATAAACCACAACACACCAAAAAACATTGTAAAATCCATCCGGTCTTCAGTAGGAACCTTGCGTCTCAGGAAGACCATGTAACAGGCATACAGCACAGCTCCAACCAGGGACCACACCACACCCACAGGCACAGTGGCTCCTTCAAGGCTGATGTCCTCCAAACTGACCAAGACCTGAAAAGGAAGGTCATGCTCAAGTTCATTCTAAAATAGTTATGTATATAAAAATAATATCAACAATTTACATACCTCTAAACTTGCAAACATCTTGAAGATGACAGCAATACAACACAATCATGTGAAGATTATTATCATTTATCTAACCAGAAGACAGTATTGCTATAATCTCATTATTACACAATAACATATTCTACCTAACCCTTAAAAGTACTGCTTCCTTATCACAGATGCTCTTCAAACTCAGTATTATAAATGCCACAGCTTTCAATGGCTTGCTAGCATCTTACTTTTACGGAAGATATCAACAATTCTGAATCTAGTAAAAATCTAAGATTTTATGGCTGTATTTCAGTGATAAAACAGCTGTTAATCCCTAAGGATCACAATATTTTTTTCCCTAGCTGCAAAAAATTCTGAATTTTCACATCCAACTCAGGTAAATTTTAGTTACTCACACCCCAAGAGCTCATTTTATACACCAGAATATGTATATTCCATAGTCACATATCAAATACATAGTATCAATAGGATACATTGCTGAAGAAGTTAACTCTTGCATATGAATGAAAATATTAACATAACACATACTACGCAACAAAATCCTATCTTTGTCATGGAAAACATTTAAGTATGTATTTAGATGTATTTAAAAGCCATCTTAATGCATAAGCAGTACAAACACTGTTACCAGTGAGTAATTGTTTGGAAGAGGGAGTGCTATGGGAAGGAGAATAAATTAATGAGTGCTAGATCTACAGACAATATATCAGGAATATATGAAATAGCACAAAGGCAGTATATCATTAGACCATACATACATATATTGTTAAGTCATTCTTTACCAAACTTGTTTGAAGTACAATCGTACAATCCAAAAACATCCAAACCATAATGGATCAGCAAATGGGGCCTTGGGAAGCTAAATAAGACTGGGTTGAATGGAACTGAACCTGTATTTAGGTGATGAAGACAGTGATAAATTTCCCTCCAATGGCATGCAAGTTTGTATGATGCAACAACTATTATACCTTTTTTCCAGAAAAGTAACGGTATCCATTTACTTTCTCTGGTTATTAGATTACCAAGAGAGAGAGGAAGAGACAGTTTCAAGATAAATTTCTTTCACTCACAATGACCACAATTCACCCATCTAAAGCTGACAAGAAATTTGTTCCTCATCATGTGGCAAGTCCCTTTATATCCTGTTTTACTGGTTTTACACAATTACCCCTATAAAAACAATTCACACACAGTGAACAGTATGGAAGTGGCAATAAACTATACAATACCATTTGCATTGGTACTGAGTGTAGGAGGGAAAAACAAGAGGACACTTTTGGTTTCCTAATGGGGAGCAGCTCAGTAAAGAAGCAGTTAAGCAGCCAAATTCAAAGATAACTATGTGTTATGGGTCTTTTAGCTCCTGTCAATCAAGAAGGCATGCTTTTCTGCTGATCTTTTGTATGGCCAACTAGGTGCCATTAATTTCAAAACCCCCCCTTGTCCCAGACCATAATGCAAGGCCTCCTTGTTTTTGTACAATGGGTCATCACTGTCCCCAATATAAACAGTTTCACAACAATAGTAATATTAATGATTGAATACAGTATACACTGATCGATAGTAGTTACAATGACTGCCTTTGGAATGTAAACAGAATCATTTTTTTTTTTTAAATGTACAAATATCAAAGTAAAGATAAGATTTCTGTCAACCAAACAAAATACAAAATAAACAATAGAAGTAAGGTAAGCCAAATGGAACTCACCACTCCAGCAACCATCAATAAGACTGAAAATAGCTTGGAGAGTGTGAATCTGTCTACTGATGATGAGGGGAAGATGGCAGCCAAGATGAGGGTGAAGAGGCCAGAGGTAGAAGAGATGACGTTGACCACACCGGCCTCTGTGTCACTCAGCGCTATCTGGTAGCCATAGTTCCCAAGAAACCACTGGAACAAACCAGATGAAACACTTACAATATAGACAGAAGAAATAGCAAGACTAAAAATATAATGATGAACTGAGACAGCCATTCACATAAATACAATACAGTAGCAGTAGAGCTTAATTTAACAACCTAATGTCTTTTACATTAATGAACTCAGAAATATGTATATACATAAAACAATCACTTAAATGACTGGATTTCTCTATATACTCCTATATTCAGGGAATTTATAGGAAAATTTATACAGATTATAA